AGGAGGAGGCAGCAGTGCTGGATCAGTGATCTGTATATAAGGTGACAGTATGTGTCTTGTCAGATAGAGGAGGAGGCAGCAGTGCTGGATCAGTGATCTGTATATAAGGTGACAGTATGTGTCTTGTCAGATAGAGGAGGAGGCAGCAGTGCTGGATCAGTGATCTGTATATAAGGTGACAGTATGTGTCTTGTCAGATAGAGGAGGAGGCAGCAGTGCTGGATCAGTGATCTGTATATAAGGTGACAGTATGTGTCTTGTCAGATAGAGGAGGAGGCAGCAGTGCTGGATCAGTGATCTGTATATAAGGTGACAGTATGTGTCTTGTCAGATAGAGGAGGAGGCAGCAGTGCTGGATCAGTGATCTGTATATAAGGTGACAGTATGTGTCTTGTCAGATAGAGGAGGAGGCAGCAGTGCTGGATCAGTGATCTGTATATAAGGTGACAGTATGTGTCTTGTCAGATAGAGGAGGAGGCAGCAGTGCTGGATCAGTGATCTGTATATAAGGTGACAGTATGTGTCTTGTCAGATAGAGGAGGAGGCAGCAGTGCTGGATCAGTGATCTGTATATAAGGTGACAGTATGTGTCTTGTCAGATAGAGGAGGAGGCAGCAGTGCTGGATCAGTGATCTGTATATAAGGTGACAGTATGTGTCTTGTCAGATAGAGGAGGAGGCAGCAGTGCTGGATCAGTGATCTGTATATAAGGTGACAGTATGTGTCTTGTCAGATAGAGGAGGAGGCAGCAGTGCTGGATCAGTGATCTGTATATAAGGTGACAGTATGTGTCTTGTCAGATAGAGGAGGAGGCAGCAGTGCTGGATCAGTGATCTGTATATAAGGTGACAGTATGTGTCTTGTCAGATAGAGGAGGAGGCAGCAGTGCTGGATCAGTGATCTGTATATAAGGTGACAGTATGTGTCTTGTCAGATAGAGGAGGAGGCAGCAGTGCTGGATCAGTGATCTGTATATAAGGTGACAGTATGTGTCTTGTCAGATAGAGGAGGAGGCAGCAGTGCTGGATCAGTGATCTGTATATAAGGTGACAGTATGTGTCTTGTCAGATAGAGGAGGAGGCAGCAGTGCTGGATCAGTGATCTGTATATAAGGTGACAGTATGTGTCTTGTCAGATAGAGGAGGAGGCAGCAGTGCTGGATCAGTGATCTGTATATAAGGTGACAGTATGTGTCTTGTCAGATAGAGGAGGAGGCAGCAGTGCTGGATCAGTGATCTGTATATAAGGTGACAGTATGTGTCTTGTCAGATAGAGGAGGAGGCAGCAGTGCTGGATCAGTGATCTGTATATAAGGTGACAGTATGTGTCTTGTCAGATAGAGGAGGAGGCAGCAGTGCTGGATCAGTGATCTGTATATAAGGTGACAGTATGTGTCTTGTCAGATAGAGGAGGAGGCAGCAGTGCTGGATCAGTGATCTGTATATAAGGTGACAGTATGTGTCTTGTCAGATAGAGGAGGAGGCAGCAGTGCTGGATCAGTGATCTGTATATAAGGTGACAGTATGTGTCTTGTCAGATAGAGGAGGAGGAAGCAGTGCTGGATCAGTAATCTGTATATAGGATCACACTACATGCTTTGTATAACAGTGGTGCAGGAACCCCTGTTGTGTCAGGTGACCCAACAATAAAGAAGGCAGCCACCTAAGGGCCTGCAACTCAGTTGGGGCTCCGATCACACGATTGCTCCATTTATTCACAGAAGCAGAATAAAGACGGTGTGAGGGACCA